TCTCTAACATTCTGTGATTCTGTGAACTACTGGGTATTTAGTATTTTTAAACTGTCATTTAACAGGATCGTGACATTCCCTAAAGCAGTATGTGAAATATTTTCTACGTACAGGAAGGAGAAAGATGTGCTCTAACAGTGAATGAAGCTAATTTTCAGATTCTCTTGATGCATCATTTTCATTAGCAGTGAGGGGGAAAAATGCTGCAGTATTTCTGCAAAGAGCAATGCACTTTACCCTACAATAAAGAGAAGCTGCGTAGTCTCCTACATATTAGATATGTTAACCACACATGTGGAGTCACCATTACAGCTGGAATTTTTTTTTTTAATTATGAATATTTTAAAAAGTGTAAAAACTAGCTGGCAATATTTCCTTAAAAATTTTTCAAGAAGGGAGTTTTAAGCTTCAGTCTCAAAAGATTGGTTCTACCCTGAAAATTGAGAAAGAACAGGACCAGCTCAGGGCAGAATGTCCTAAATCCCACTGCAGTGTAAATTGAGGGCATTTTGTACAAAGTGTTCTGCACCACATGTGGGCCTAAAGCCTCTGCCTAGTAAAACGAGGTCAAGGAGCAGAAGGTATATGTAACAGTCAACCTCTGTACTTTGCAGCTACAAAAATTAAGAATAAATAACTGATCGTTCTAAAACACTCCTGAAAGATGGCCAGGAAGAACAGCAGCGGTGTTTCTGAGTCTCTTTATCTCAAATCTCCACTGGCTACAGAGCAAGGGCTCTTCTGTGAGATTATTAGAGGCATACTCACTGAAAGAAAACTGTAGTTTTGCAAGCGCTATAAAGGATAGTATCTATACTTTGCGGGGTTCTAATCAGGCAAAATATGTATTTTAAACCCCTTACATTTTGTACCAAGTACTGACAGCGTTACCAAGTCTTAATCTGTGGAGTCCTGACTGGTGGTTCATAACAGTCTGATCTTCACATGATCAGATTGCACGATGAGCTGCTGGAATGCACTCCTTATACACTAAGCCTATTTTACCGAGTAACCAGCTAGATTACACTATGCCTCACTTTGGAGCAAGTCTAATGCTAAAAGACTACAAGCTACAGAAACTAAACCCCATCGTTTCCTTTAGAAATGTCAGCAGACTCCTTGGCTGAATTCCTGGATCAAATAAGCCATAGTGTCAGCTAGGAGACTACAAGCAAGGCCAACACAAATACTCTTTTCTAGACTGCGATGGACCCATGACATTCACTACCCATGCAGTAATGATCCTTGACAAGCTTGTCATTTATGAAGCCATTGCCAAGAGCTAGGTGATAAAGTGCTCTCCTGCTCTCAACCAGATGCATGCAACAAGCATCAGGGGGTTGTTTCACAGCACAGTAAACTGACCTTGTCAGTGGGTGCTGCCAAAAGGGATGGCCCCAATTCCTGCACTGCCTTGACCACATCTTCTTGCCTTCTCACTAGCGTTTGCAGTACGACTTGTCTGGCTGCAAAAAGCCAAGGCAATATAAAAGTCTTTACTTTGAGGCTTTTTGGTTGCTGGCTTTTTTTTGCTCACTTGTTGCTGTTTTCTCCCTTTAGCAGAGTTGTTGTCTGCCAGACTCTTACATAGAACCAGCCGTCCCCTGGGGTCAGACACGAGCTAGTATGAGGGCTAGCAGGAGGAAAGCAACTGGGCAGCTTTGTAAGCAGCAGGCAGTCAGTAGATCCGTTTAGCTGTTCCATGAAACCATACCCTTACACTAACAGGAGTTACAGAGTTAAAGCAGAATATTTTTCTGCCATCAGTGCAACTGATCCAGTCCCAAAGGAAGTAATTGCAGGCAAGGCTTCTTGTCTAATATGCTATAAAAGCAGTTTCTAATCTGTCACTTCAACACCATAGTATGGGGAAAGGGGGGAGGGGAAATCACTACTAATGATTTATTTTCCCAAATGGAGAGTTAAAACAATTAAACCTAAGCCTTTCAAAAAAATCTTTCTGTATCCACATATTCAAAGTGGCTTTGGAGATAATTTTACAGGTGAAGCAAATGATTTTTTTTTTTCCCTTTATGAGGCAGAATACATTGCAAGTTTGCTGATGTGAAGCTGAACTAAAATAATGATGCCCTCTGAAAATTTAACCAGATATAAATAAAGTATTGGCATATGAATTTGGCTGCCCAACTAAGAATCACATTTTAAAATTGCATCAATTTATCTTAAAATGTAAGCAAAGACCAGTTTGGTTGTTGCTTTCCCTGCAGATGATGGTCAGCTCTTTCCAGGCTCTCTGGTGCTTGCAAGCCATTCACCTACCGTGACCTGAAGCTCACACTTTGATAAAATGTGACCACCACTCTACTTTTTATAGCGGCTAACTTTCATTAGTACATGTTCCCTCAAAACCACAGGCTGCAGGGCCACATCTCTACCACATTTGTCCTTTCAACACAGCCTTCATGACCTCTTTTCAAAAATAAAAACAGCAAGCAGCCTGTAAGAGGAGCTTTCTGCACAAAATAAATTTCCCTTCTTGCTACCCTTGTGAAAAGACCTTCTGAACTTGTCAAATCCACAGCTATTTTCCACACCGGGCATGAACATGCTACGTATCACTAGAAAAATCACTTCCTGCTAGTATGTTACACAAAGAGTTACTTAAAACCTCAAATCAGCAGGCTGTGGCAGTGACTTTAAATCCCCACTGAGTAGGGGTTATTTACATGTTAGATTGGGGTTTCAGAAAGTGCTAGGGGTTTACCTTTTCTCATCCAAGCTGACATATCCTAAAGGCCAAGGAAAATTTTTCCTTATACCTACAGAGATATGACAAAGATTCTGCAAGAAATGTTTAATCCTGCAGTATTTCTAAATCGATTGAAAGTGGACATTGGAACACAGTACTAAGCTGCTGAATCCTCTTTTTTTTTAGAACTAAGTAACTGAATCAGGAGGAAGTGCTGTTTGAAACCACAAGGTACCTTTTTCTTCCAGTGAAAGGCTACGTTTTTGAAGATTACGTAGCAGACTTCAGTCACTATTAGTAAAATAACTCAAAGTGGCCAATACACACACAAGGCATAGCAAAGAACAAAATCAGAAAAGAGCTAAATCAAGAAACAAAAATATCAGTATTTTAAAGTAGCTACAAACATAGATGCAGACTGAGAGAATCCTGTCACTTTGCCATTCGCAAAGTTATACAATCAAGTAATCAGAAAAAGTAATTTTTTAATTATGCCATAAAGGCATTTGACTACAAATTTAGCAATCATAAAAATAATTCTACTGAAAGAAAACCAGACTCCCACTAATTAAATGGCTATCAAGAACTGTGTTATAGAGTGCTTATATTCTGATCTCCAAATTGCAGATCCTTATTGAAATGTTGGCTACTAAAATGCAGCACTGGTTCAGGCAACCCTTTCTAGCACATGGATAAATACAAGTAACAGTCTCAATCCGAAAACTGTAACACAGTGTGCGTGTGTGCACGTTATTCAACATCTAAACATGTAATTACATGCTTACAGCTCAGAACGCACATTTACCTTCACTCATTTTACAAAGGTAAAAAGAGGACTATGCTTTATGGACCTGAGACTTATCATGGAAGTTGTGGCAGTTCATGTAATCTTCCCTATGCAAAACCAGATGAGAAAACTACTACACTTTCAGACTCGGAAAAAAAAAAAAGTTATCACCACTGCATATGAATCTGCTTGTATAAACAGCACTGAATATTTAGAAGGAAAGACCTGGGCTTAAAGTTGGGCCAAAGTATACTAAAAAGGCTTACCATGCAAGCTTCTCTGGCTTGATGAACTGATGGGTCTTTTTCTAGGACTGCCTTATAATCTTCCAGAGCTTCATCTAGTTTTTCTGTTTTTTCATATAGTTCTGCTCTCCTCAGCAAAGCTCTAATATAGTTAGGATCTAATTCCACTGCTAGAAAACAAAAACAAATCACAGTATTTTACCTGAAACATTTCTACACCACTCAAATGAATTCTTAAGTCTGTAGTAAATTCCTAATAGTTATATTTATAATGTAGCTCAGAATCAAGCAGAGTCACAGTTTAAAAGCTAAATCATAATTTAGAAAGGCATATACCTGTCTGTGAAAGCCTAATGCAAATTATTGTATTTCATTTAATGTCTACAAACTATCACAGATAGAAGTGCACAAACATTTAATTGTGCAATACTATTTATATACAGATTCTAAGTGGTGCTTCAGAAATTTTAAGGACCTGTAAGATATTTTTCAACTTTTGTATATTTAACAAGCATATATTATTCAATTACAGCTAAAGTTAAATATATGTAAAGATAAAAATAGCAGGGAAAATAAGCATTTCCCTGCTTATCTCAGTTCAAGTTGAGACAAGCTCCAGGAATACGACTGGTGTTATTTTGAATTTAATATCAAACAGTCAAAATTGGGCTGGGAATCCACAAACAGTTATATTAGCTCTACAAGTTAGCAAAGGGGCATACTAACTGAATTTAAACTTTTCCTCTCCTTATTCTCTTGGCAGCCATGACCATGTTTACAGATGCAGTTAAGACTGAATGCTGAATTTAACAGCAACCTCCAAATGGTAATTTCTCAATAATTTCTTAATCCATTTTTCATCATAGAAAAAGACAGTATGAAAGACTGCCCAGTTTATAATTATTAACCATTAGAATGGTTCTCAGGACAATTAAATCTAGGATGAACTAGCTAAATATTCTAGCTTATTTCTTCTGGAAGGACAAAGACAATGCTACAGTCAGCAAGTTGCAGGTTGGTGTGAATTGCTCTGCTGTGCTCCAAGTGTTGCATTGCAGTTTGTAAGCCAAGTCCCTGGGGAATGTCAAGCGATGGTAGGTTTAAGCCTCACTGCTGCAAAGCAGACTGATTCCCTTTCAGCCACTAGAAAATTAGCAGAAGTGTTTTTCAAAATGCACCACCACCAAACAAGGCAAAACCCCAAAGTGACTGAGGCCAGCTAGAATTTGTTACCTTCAAGAATAGTTTTCTCATGTACAAATACATATTTACCATACAAGCTGTAGTGGCACACAGCCATTGGATTATTTTTCCGATTGGCAATTGGGACATTTTCCCCAGCTGTCATGGGGAGTTTAACAAATACTCGAGCATGGGTGAGTGGGTGGAAGTAATAAAGCAATGCACAGCTGAAATGATTTCACCAGGAGTTGCAGAGAGAAAACTATGCAGGACAAGAACAGGAGAGCATAAGCTCTTGTGACAAAGCAAAAGCCTATCACAAAATTTAATTCTGTAAGGCCTCATGGTTCTTTGGAACCTGGGATTAAACCAAGATCTGGGGGGCAATGGCAGGTGGAAGTGGGTTTAAAATAGCAGGTGTTAAGGAAACAGCTTTCTTAATAAAAAGACTTTCCTATTAAAAACAAGTATGAACAGGAGCCTTATTGGCACAAGATAATAGAGAGTAAATTATTATGGACACGAAAACTTTGACAGACATTTTACAAAATTAGTATTATAAATTATTGAAATAATTCTAGATTCAAGTGTCTTCTACCACAGCTTTCTATAAATTCTTTAAAGATCCTTATGCTTAAAATTACAGCTCTGCAGTAAGGCACTAACTGGTGTAATTTATGTATGAAAGATCTGGCACAGGAGCAGCACACAGAAAAAAAAGTCATACCTTTGCTGCAGTCACTTAGGGCAGCTTCTGTCTTGTCCTAGAACACAAAATAGTTTTGTTATATTTAAGTCATATTTCTTGGGAAAGAGATTATTTACAATTGCAAGCAAAAAGGTTTGTCTGGCATTCCAAGGAGCTGGGATGTTCTTTCATACCTTTCTTCTGATGTAAAGCTCTTTACCAGTGATTAGCTTCCTCTCTGTGAAGGCTGCCAGTGTTCAGATTGCACGGCTGCCCCACTAATTGCTCTGCACTGAACAGCCGGCAGCACGCTACAGTCAAAACGCTGAGTCACATCTGCAGGCCTTGGCTTAACCCAGCTACAGCTTTTCTACCTTTGTCAATTAATTAAGGGGTTGGAATAGATGGTTCCCAAAACTCCCAGATAAATACTTCTCTACAAACGAAGACATTTGGAAAGCAGACACTGCCTTTAGCGCTAACACAGCTTTCTCTGCAAGGGACAATGCATGAGATTTCCAGAAGCAGCAGGGACAAGATTTCAGTGCACCCAGACAACCATAGTTAGAATATGAGAGCAATGTGCTTATAATGAAACAAGAAAAAAAAATAAAAGACAAAAGAGCTGAGTCAGAAATCCTATTTTCATCCAAACTAATAGGGCTTAAAAAAAAATAAATAAAAAATCAGGCTGTTCTGTGGTTGTATTGTCGATCTAAGTAGTAGTAATCTGTCTGCACCTAAGGAACGATTTTCTCCTCCATAAAACAGATGCTGTCTCACAGAAGAAAGTCTCTTGAGCTTTTTTTTCTCTCTCCTCCCCGCCCCGAGTAACGTACTGGTCAGGTTCCACTGACCTATACTGGTAAGATACAGTAGTTCGTGCACAGTTCTTTTATCACATTGGGCACCTTTGGGGACTACTGGATTAGTTTCCCAGTGATACGAATAGTTAACATCGGGATTATGACAAGGTTTTTCAGTTTACAGCTTTCATATTTCAAAGGTTCCAGCTTCTGTTATTACAGATTTTATCCCATTTTTTCCTTGTCTGCTCAAACAATTCAGTATTCCCACAGCAAGTTAGATAGTTCTAGCCAAACAAGAATACTCTATGCTGAGTATTTATTTATGCCTAAATATGGCTGCAAGGTACATTTCTAAACAGAGGTGCATCTGTCTCAATAGTGGAGGAAAATTGCAAGAAAGTTCCCTTTGAAGAAGAGTAAACTGAGGACAGGAGTTACTGTACTATTTTTCTATAATAATTTAATCTTAAAAACAAAGGCAAAAATACAGAGCAATTTCTCCTGAATTATTCATATCTCCTCTTTTTAAAGAAGTGAAAGTTTCTGTTCAGACAGATTGTGTTCTACAACACACTAAACACGCTGAAAGACATCTATTCCACATGAACTTTGAATTTCATTAAAATAGAGAGAATGAAAGAAAAATCAGTATTTTAAACATAATGCAGCAGCGTAACTTTGAACAGCTGTTCCAGCTGCAACTTTCAGGTTTATATTAATTCCCAGTAAAACCAAGTCTACCAGTATTTCTACTGGGAGCTTGGCAGACTGAGCGAGCAGCAAAACCTGCAAACAGCTTTATTCCTTTGCAATCCTTTGTGCACCCCTAATGACTTCATTATTGCATGTCATATAATCAATACATAGTGTTTCATAAATAAAAAGAATATTCACCTGTTTCATTTTTGCAGCAGCTCTGTTTGAAAACAAAACAGCCCTATCTTTTTGGAAGCAGGCTGGACAAATCTGCAGAGCCTTTGTGTAAGAGTCTTCTGCCTCTCCATAGTCTGCAGATGCAACAAGGAAAAAAACAAAACAGACCATTGATCTCAAATGTCAATACAGTCAGTGAACCACATGGTGAAGATTTATTTGGAAACATTTCTCAATATATGATGCAATATTAAACCAGAATCAGTATCTGCTCTCAGACAAAGTGCATTACTAAGTAGCACATAGATCAATGTCAACTAATTATTTCAAAATCAACACCCTTGTAAAAGCAGAAACATAGTCCCGAGCTTAACGTAACAGGTGCAGCATGATGTGCATAACTCTCATCCCTGAAGTTGTTTCCTTATAGTTTAGAGGTAGAATCTCTTTAGATTAAGCATATCCTTGATCTGATAGGAAGCATGTGCTAAAACATGTCACTACACCGATGCCTGTTCAAAGGATGCCTGTTCAAAGGATGCCTGTTCAGGGTCTACTCTCATCCCTGAAGTTGTTTCCTTATAGTTTAGAGGTAGAATCTCTTTAGATTAAGCATATCCTTGATCTGATAGGAAGCATGTGCTAAAACATGTCACTACACCGATGCCTGTTCAAAGGAGATATGGAGATATTTCATTTGCCACATCATCTTCCATGACTGACTTAAAGGTCAGTCACCACAAACCCTTTATCACCCGAAGGTCATCAAGTCTGGTCTAAAGCAAGGACCAGTGGTAAAGCACATGGGATTATCAAGGTATTAATTTTCTAATAAAGATAGAGTCAAGAGGGAAAAGGCCCTATGCTGACTCTGAACAATGCCCTGACAGCTGATAAGTGCATTGTTCTCAAAACAGAGCAATTGTTTCTGTGCACGTTAGCTGGTCACCATCCAGGTACTTAAAAGGATCTATATTTCTGATTAGTAAGCACTTTGGCAGGCACAGGTACACTGAAAAGATCGGCCAAAGAATGTGTCAAGAGGCTATGGATGAGACTTCACAGGATGATTCAGTCAACATCACAGGCTTGCAGCTTTCATGGTCTGAGCAGTTCCCTGCTGCCTGCTCTGATACTTGCCTGAAATGGTAAATCATTCCCCAGGAATCTTGCTCCCTTAGCACACAATAAGGGACTTCCAACAGGAAGGCCACTGTCTGGTTATCAGGGTATACGTCCAAGAAGGGGAAGTTACTTGTTTGTGTCGCTGCTGACTGAGGAAAGTATGAATCTGCATTTCCTGGTTTCTTTGTGAATCCTCTAGCCACCAGAACATTAAATGAAATTGTGTTTTTTAATTGTGAATTGAATTTGTGTTTTTTAATTAAAAGCATCGGTACTGTTATATATTACTGACCTCAACCCTGTTGTTATGTATTAACTATGTTCAGACCATGTCCAGTTCTGGCATAAGCTAGAAATCTACATAACTCTAGATTTTTTTTTTAACATATGTATGTATGTGTATGTGTCCATCTCTATATACACATATATATGTGTATATATATACGTATACAGATGTACATGTAAGCATATATAGATGTACATGATATCTGTGCATGTATATGAACATATAGATGCCTGTATATATATGTACACACACACAAATAAAATGTCTAACAGATAGAGTCAGTGGATAAAAATATACAAATTTACAAAGGTATGAGAGAGCTACAGAGCCAGAGTGCTGCATCAATTCTCATTAGCAAAACTCAGAGCCTAATGGAAGCCTTTTTTGATTAGTAAAAGAAACCCTGGCTCTTGGAAGGCAGTCAATTCTGTATCATGTTCTTGGATTTAAACACTTCGCCTTCATGAGAATCCTTTAGTAATCCAAGTGTTTGTGATTTAAACTTAACTCTTAAGGTCTGCTATCTTCTTCTGTTCTCTAGAGCTGCATAAAAAAATGGTATAGATAATACATTTGAACAATGATAGATGTGAGATCTTCCTATGGGTTTTCTGCAACATCACCATGATGGCTAAGTATTAATATTCTCTAACATCCATACGGTGTTAAAAGATTATCAACCCACCTCCTTTCTTGAACTGCTCATTTCCTTTCTCCTTCAGTGTTGTGCTCTCCTTTCTTCTTTTCTACAAAAGAAAAGACAATGTCTCAAAGTATTTAATTGAAATGAACAAGTAGGTCAGCTGCATTTCCAAATAAAGTATGAATGGAAACCAGAATAAAATATAACCTGAAGAATTTTAACTAGTACCAAGATTGCTTGTAGTCATTGTGACATGATATACTTTATATATCCATGAAACACTGGAGTATAGCAACAAGGCAATTAAAAAGCTCCAGGTCATGGACAACAGTATGCAGAAAGAGCATTCATAGTGAATTACATGTTTGAACTAATATGTTAGCTTTTTAGCTGGCTGTTTGCTTCTCCTTTCCAACTCAATTCAATCAATGCAGGTCAACTATGTAGAATATATTTTAGATGTAAATCTCAAAAGTTTTGGTTGCAATAATTCCGCCTTGGAAATTCATTGTTACTTTCACAGAATTACAAAGCAGGTTGAGCTGACTGCATTAGAAACAGGGCCATGGATACTACTGCCCTGAAAGATTTCTTATGCAGAGAGTGACTAAACCATCAGACACAGAGACAGGAAGATTGTTCTGTTATACAGTGAAAATTGCACATGCTGAGCAGAGTTGTGTTTTCAACCATGAATATCTTAACAGTACTCTTGGCACAAGCAAAGTCGACATGAATGCTCTTAGCCTCTGACACAGAAAACACAGGATGTCATCAAGACATCTCTTCAACCTATTTACAATGGAAGTCTTTCACATGCAGACATACCTCACACAAGTAAAAACAAAGCAGGATAAGTTAGACAGTAACATCAAAAAGCAACGTTTATGTTGATGAATCCTTTCTATGGTAGAAAAATAATCATTTGACCACTGATTTTGCCCAAACACACATGCATACACAAAGGACATAAATAAAGGTGTCTATAAATTACAGATCATTGAGCAATTAAAAAGCCAACACTAGGAAAAGGAGCAGTTTCCTTTCCCGCAGATTGTGTAAATCAAGGATTAATGCAATTATCAATATCGCACAGAACATCTCCTTGGAAACAGCTAAATATAGTACTCTGTGGAGCACTGCACCATCTCACAGCTATGCCAAGGAGCTGACAAACAATACAAAATCAGAGGTTCTCTCCTCTTGCTTCTATTGGTTTTGGAAAGTAATTCACCCGACCACTGTCACCATCTTAGTAATAACAGGTCAAAATGCTATGAAAACTAGGCTCAGGGGAACGGCATTCAATGACACACAAAATTACACAGTAAAATATTATCTGACCCTTTCGATACATGCCTAGACTACTAAATTTTTTTTCCTATTGCCTACTAAATATATTTTCTAATACTCATCACTCCTCACAATTAAAAACAAACAAACAAAACATAGGTCAGACAAAACACACACCACTATTTAGAAACTGATTTTCTTCCAAGCTGGATTGACAAAGCCTACACAAGTCCTTCCACAGCGTCACTTGCACCAATGTACACAAGCCAGCTGGTGCTTTCTAAATACGAGCACAGAAACGGACTTGAGCAGTTAAGGCACAAGCTGCATTAAAAGCACTAATTCTTTGTACATGTGCAGGATTCTGCTGTTCAGCACAGGGCGTACGTAACTCCATTTGAAAGCTATACCCAAACTTTCGAAGTGCCAGACAGAACAGCTCCAGCAAGGTCACTGCCACACGCACAGCTGGCCCTTCATCGAAAGAAATTTCTAAAACATCTCGAATACCTATAGAGTGAAAATTAGCACAAGAAGTAATTTTCATATCAGTGAACAAAGCAGTCAGATTTCAGCACAGAACAGGTTTGGAGATTAAGATCCTAGTGGAAAACATGAAAGATCTGCACAGACAACCCTCATTCAAGATAAATTCTTGAAACACTAGCCCTACCAGCTTCATTGCTCATGACCTATTTAGAACTGGCCTTTAAGTGCCATTAACTGAACCAGTGTTGCATAAGGCAGAGTTACAACTCTACAATAACAAAAGATTTTTTTCTTTATAAAATGAGAACTACAGCATGGTCGCCTGATGCAGAATCCCTAAAATCAAGATACACTGGATGAAAATCTTTACCTATTATCATTATTTTGCTTAATTTTATTTAAATTGTTACAAAACATTACATGTTTACCCCAGTTAGGTATTAAATACTAATATAAAAAGTGATTTGCAGCAAGAAGGCTCCAGGAGAATAAGCTTTATATTAAAAAAAAAAAAAAAAAAAAGAGTAAAAGGAACAAAAAAATTCTTCAATTGTAGGATTCCTTCTCAGATAGCCAAGAGGATTGTGACCTAGAGTCTCAACAGCACAGAAAAGACCAAGGTGGCTGTGGCTGTATGGCCGCATTTGCTGGGGAAACACAGGCAGATGAAAGTTCTGAGCAACTGAAGAGTTCAAGGACTGTCACGCTGGGAAGCTGATGATTCATACAACTCTCCTCAAAAAGCTTGTTCCTTTGTATGTCCTCTTGCCTGTGAATCAAACTATACAAACTTGAAGGACAGAGGACTATTAGTCACATAACTGCTACAGACATACAAATGTCAGCGACAGTCTTGCGGTCACTTCCGACTATTGGACCAGAAAAGGTGTTGTCTAAGCATGTTCCAGATGCCAGCAGCATTGTTAAGATCACCGTATATGGTTTTGCAGCTTACTCAGCTCCCTGGAAAGCAGCAAGGCAAGCAATGCAGTCCTGGTTCAAAACCAGTATTTCTGTTACAGCTTGACCAACATTTTCAGGATATCCCTGTATTACAGGTTTCAGGCTGTCCCTTAAGTGACAAACTGTACAAGTTTTCACAGTATTTTTCAAAAGGGTGAAGTCGAAAGGGTACCTCATGCACCATTCTGGATTTGCATTTGAAGTATGACCCATAAGCGATACACAGTAGCAGACAATCCCTAAAATCTAACTGCTCTGGCTTTTCCACAAAATGTGAAAGCATATGTATTAGTATGTCACACCCTAAATGCACTGCCCTCTAAAGCACGCTATGTATTTGTGAAATAACCTCTTCATTCAGTATGCTGCATTTCCACTGTCAATGGACAATTACAAATTCACTGGTCATCAGTTTACTGTGATCATATCAGCCCAGAGTGAAAGAATTGCAAGTGACTTGTCCTTGGGACAAATTTTGCACAATGTCATCTCAGTGCTCCCACCCACTCATTTTGCAGAAAAAGATTTAAGTAGCTGCAGGGCAGGCTACCCTTTCCTCAGTGAGGGAAGTAGGTCAGACTGAACTCTTAGAATGCTCAACCTAAGGAAAAGATCTCTTGACCCACTATGTTGCTTGAGGCCGCTCATATATGACATTGGGGTCACACACAACTTCCCCAACGTACACACCATTTTGATTTTGTTATTCAAAGTCAGCAAAATCTTAAGGTTTGTTTTTACAAATTTTATTGATACAAAGATCACAAATTCTATGTGGCAGGCATTAGTTTTTGATGTACAATGCCAAAAAAATAATTTTTAAAGTCCAGAAGAAATAACTACATTTAACTAGTAATATGATTCTTAAAGGATCTGATTAGAACTGTTTAGGGATTTGGATACTGAATTACAATTGTCCATACTCTGAAGAAATTAGGACCTTAACATAAACCTGCCTGGCAAGCAAGAAGTGCTGAAGATTAAGGCTTGATCTGAAGTAACGAGAAAAGACAGCTTGGCCTTCTGACAATAAAGTACAACAATTCAAACGAAAGGCCATCAAATACAGTCCCTGGACCTCAGCTATTCTGACAAAAACTCAGGGTTAAAAATAACAGCATTAAAGCATTATTCTGCTATTAGAGAAGACAGCAACCTACACAATTTCACTGTTTGTTTTGGAAGTAACCAATATAATAAAAGTGCTCAAAGTGAAATCCTTAAAGATAGCTGGTGAGAGCTGAAGGACGAACACCCTCAGTTTGAAATGCTTCCAATTATGCTTCCTATGGCTGTTCCTATGCATTTTATTTGATCAATTGATTTAACTTTGCTAGGGAACTGTTCTTGGCTCCAGTTTTCTCAAGAGCAGCAAATGCCCACTCTCCCGTCTCTGTAAGGCTATTTCTACAGTGTGACAATGCACCTCTGCATCTCATATACCCTTTTGTACGGTCACCAAGTAGCAGCCAACTTTAAAACTACTGGAGTTCAAAGGGTGCACAGAAGCAAGGAATTTAAACAGATAAGGAATATATTTTTCAGCCTCAAATACCAATTCTAGTTCTAGGTCATCCATTAGTAGTCATCTGCTTCCCCCTGCAGTTGTGTGAAGCCATTGCTGTAACATGCATTCCAGGATTCGAATTCCAATTTTTCAAATCTTGCTAGAGTTGTCACTTTGAAACTGTGCTAAATCTGCCCCCTCCACTCAGGAGGTAGTGCAACAAGCATTGCTAGACTCTGGCCAGCCTTTACCATGTAACCCCATGGTAGAGGCCATGAGGCTTTCTACAGCCAAATCCCTACCTCCTCCTGAAATTGTGAGCAGCACTGCCACAGACAATAGGTCACATCCATCCAGTCAGTTTAATTCAACATGCCAGACTAACTGTGACTATTCCTGAGCGACAGTACATGCCAGTCAGTCGTTCCTGTTCCAGAGGCAACACCCTCAAGCAGAAAAGTGGAGCTGACCCCTTAATCCATCACCACCACAAGTGGAAAAGGTCTAAATTTGTCAGTATCAGCATATTCCAGAGAAATGCAAAACTAATACGGCTAACATCAGATAGCAGCACTGAAAGAAAGATGAAAGTATACTTCTTCACTTTTTCTATTAAATTGCCATCCAGCAAAAGACTTTTACATATGTTTAAAAACATAACTCAAAGAACTATAAATCACACAGGAAGATTATAACTCCACATTTTATCCAGGTTCTTCTCACCTGCACTTGGAATTAATTACTCTAGCAGATACAGATATACTTCTCTAATGTACTTCTCCGAGCTTTGATTAACTCAGAAAATGTAACAGGATGTTTTGTTCTATTTTGCAAGCCATAAAACAGGGCAG